TGTTTGGTTAGAAAGAGAAGTGTTTCTGAGACTAGCCCCAGAGCCTAATTAATGGTTAGGGGCGCCAGATTCCACATGGCCAACTGCATGATTCGAATCCCAGCCCCGGCAGCTTGAGAAACACGCTGTGCCCATGTGCACGCGTGCCTAAAATCCCAGAGAAAGAGAAGGGATTGCAGAGTGACCACGCCTCATTGGAGGGTGCTTTCTCCTCTTCCTCTCTTTTGGTCTCTCTTTCTCTGGTCAGTGCACATGCTTTTTGGCAAAATTGGAAAAAAAATTTAAAAAAAAAAGGCGTTTCTGGGAGAAAGGACAGCTGAGCAGGGACTCAGTAGGTGGCCAGGAGGAAGGGGGGGCAGGGCAGCAGGGTCCCATGGTGAAGTGCATCTTGGAAAGTCACATAGAAAGGAAAAACTGGATGGGCTATAAATTAAGAATGAGCACTTATTAACAGAGAGCAAAAGGCCAGACAGAGAGAAGGGGGGGGTGAGCCGGAAAAGTGAGCAGAGCCCAGGACCAGCGCCTCTGCACGAAGCGCTCAAATAGTCACACCGCGGGGTTTGCAGGAGCTCTGTAGCATTTATTTACAATTCTGAGAGGTGGAGCTGGGGACCTCCCCCATAAATCTCTCCATGGCTGCTACTGGTATTGTCCTCAGCAGCTGCGACAAAAACCACTCAGAGACTCTCTGAAAGCGAGCACTGAATGGCTTCATTGGCTCGGAGGAAGAGGGAAAGGGTAAGCACTCTTCAGAGCTCCTGGACAGCTTTGCCCGGGCCTGGGCAGTGCTGCGTGTCACAGCCGCCCTGGGTTCCCTTCCTGGGCAGCCAGAACGGTTCTTCCCGAGTTAGTGATTTACCCACAACCTGCCCGCCCGCCAGAGTTGGGAAATGTGTGATTTGACTTTCTTTATTTTCCATTTTTAAATTTATTTTTAATTTTTCCACATTTACTTTACATGTCAAAAAATTATAACTCATACTCCATAGTTCTTGCCAGTTAATAAGCAATGTTCAAAATTTCAAAATACTGAACTTTATTAAGATAATGTTCTAAATATTTCTTATAATCTTGTATAATTTTGTTTGTGACTCTGTAACAACTTTGGGAGTCTCGTGATTGGACTTTTTAAAATATTTATTTATTTATTTTACTAATTAATTTTACATCCATTCACCGAGGATCACCACAGCATACCAAATGTGATTTACCATCCAGAATACACTGCATAGTGGCTTAGTCATACGTGTTACCATCGACAAATAATTTTCTATTTCTTGTTTCATATATATATGTATATGTGTATTTTACCCCTGCTTCTCACCCTCTGCCATTTCCCACCCTCCTCCCACACTGTCTCTGGTGTCTGCAGTTGCTTTCCACCCCACCCCCCCTTTTATTGATTCACAAAATAACTTAACTAATCTAACTACTTTCAGTAGCAAGTTCAGCTGACAGGTGGCATAGCGGTTGAGGTGCTGGACTCCCCACATGGCCAGTTTGAGTCCCAGACCTTCTGGCTTGCTTTCTCACTTTCCCTCTCTCTCTAGTCAAATGAATACATAAAATTAAAATAATTCTTTTAAAAAAACTTTATGCATTTCATCTGAGAAAAATAGAGGCACTTTCAACAGAGTCTTTATGCCGTAATCCACACCCTCCGCCCTGGCTTCAGCCTGCCAGGGTCACAGGCATGCCGTATGCCCAGTGTATGCAGGGTGATCTTGATGACCTTCCCCTGTGAGGCCAACAGTGCATTTTGGGGGGCCCCTGCCTGGCCCCTGATCTGCTTTACACTGAGGTATGCCAAACCCATCTACCCTGTCTTTGAGGGAGGTCTCTCTATGCCCAATTCCACCTCCACCACTGGCTGAAAGGGCAGAGCCAGAGGAAGGACCACCCCTGCCGCTGCCGCTTCCCCCTCCAGCCTGTCTCCTTACTCTTCTAGGCCTCCATGGTCCCTACTGTAAAATGGGGACAGTCGTGCCTGCCTCGCCATTGACGAGAGACTCAGACCAACCATCGCAAGTCAAGTAGGCAGCAAGGAGCCCAGTCCACAGGGCAGGCTCGGCACACACAGGCTCCCGTTTATATCGACCCTGCCGCGGTGCACCGCACTTCTCCCCGAGCCGCTCTGGGGGTAGCAGGCACAGAATAAAGGAAGTACCCTTGGCTGATACTGTTGGTGGATCAGGCCACTCTCTGCCCCAGCGTGCAGACTCGGCCTCACAGTCTCTGACAGCCACTAATATTAATTAATGGCTAACATTTCTTGAGATCTCACTATGTTGCAAATGAGTTTTCTCCTTTAATCCTCATAAAAATCCTGCCTACTGAGAACATTTTATATTTGAGTCAATTGAGGTGGAGTGAGGGTAATGTGCTCAAAATGATGAAGCCAGGGAGGGCCCAGGGCTGGAATCTGGGCTCTCTGGAGCCTGAGCCTGCTCCTTAACCACTGGCCAGCACTGCCTCCCAAAGCCATGTGTGTGCCAGGACCCAAGCAGCACAGAAAGCCACAAAACCTCTGCCTGTTCTCAGGGACTTGGAGGAGCTGCATCTTGTCTTTATTTAGGTCCCACCCCTGCAATTAGTGTGGCTGGTGACTTTCTTTTCCTCCTAGTCCAAGTGTAAAAGAAACCAAGGAAGCGGCCTTTGAATCCCAGGTCTCCATAATTACTAGTGGGAAAAATTCTCAAAAATCTTTACACTTTGTTCCAAGGCTTTTTAGGAATAACCTGGAACTCACACTGAAGAATCAGTCCAAGAAGAGAGACTGTTTTCCTCACCTCTGTGCTGTCTGTACTTGCAGAAGCACCTGGCCCAGAATAGATGCTTGATAAATACGTATTGACTGGGAGGATGCCGGGCCAATGTTGCATCAGGCCCAGAAGACATGGTGGTCAAGGCCTGGTTACTCATAGGGGCCCATGATGATGTTGGAACATTACTTTCTTCCAAGAACAGAAGAAAAAAAAAAGTATAGAAATAGTAAGTTATAGGGCCAGCAGATGGCATGGTGGTTAAAGTGCTGCCTTCCCTCATGGCCGACTACATAGTTCGAGTCCCAGACTCGGAGACTTGAAAAACGCACCAGGTATGTGTGTGTTCGTGTCCAAAATCCCAAGAGGAAAATGAAAGAAAAGGTACGGTGGCATGGCCATCCCCCCTGGGGGGTGATATCTTATTTTTTCTCTTGTGTTCTTTCTCTCTCTGTCTCTCTCCTGTGAATGCAGGTGCCCTATAGCAAACTAAAAAACAAAAAAGAAATATTTATTCCAAAATGGTAGGAGAATTTGCCAGATTTTATGTATTTTTAAGAAAAAAGGTGTATATCCCCTGGATCCGGTAGTTGTTCACCAGCAGGGCTCCAAAGAAGGTATTTGAAACTAGTATGTGGGACCAGCAGTTAGTGTAATGGATATGTTGCTGAACTCCCATGTAGTTGACCGCGGTTCAAGTCCTGGACCTGGTGGCTTAAACTCACGCCGGGCGCCTGTGCATGCGTGCCCAAGATCCCGAGAGGAGAAGGGATTGTGGCACGGCCATCCCCCCTGGGGGGGGATTTCTCGCTTTCTGTTTCTCTCTCTCTCTCTTCCTTTCTGGTAAACGCACACACCCTATAGCAAAAACCTCTCCCCCCCCCCAAAAAAAAAACTAGTATGTTCCAGACATACATGAATCTTCATTGATTCTAAAGTTACATGACAACTAAAGCATGTTTAAACCCTATTGAAAGAGAATTAGACTTGGCATACTCTATTTTAAAGTTTACGAGTACCATTCTTAGCGTTCTGCAGTTTCTCTTCAGAATAAACAGTAAGATTATCAATAACCATAAGAGAAAGAACAGCCACAGCCGCCATTTATTGAGCGCTTTCTCTGCCGGGCACTCTGCTAAATACTTTATATGCGTCATTTTGCCTAATCTTTACAACCATAGAGTGAGCAGGTGATGTTATTATTCCCATTTTATAGATGGGATCATTGAAGCTCAGTGAAATAAAGGAGACAACTCAAGACCATGTAACTAATGAGAAACAGGATCAGAATTCGAACTCAGTTGGGATCAGCAGGTGGTGTAATGGTTACATCTCTGGACTTCCATGTAGCTGACTGCAGTTCAAGTACTAGACATGGTGGCTTAAAACTTATACTGGGTGTGGGACCAGCAGTTGGAGTAATGGCTATGTCTCTGGACTCCGTGTAGTTGAACAGGGTTTGAGTCCCGGACCTAGTGGCTTAAACTCATGCTGGTCACATGTGTGTGTGCGTGCCCCAGATCCTGAGACGAGACTG